AGATATCCCAGCTGGGGAAATAGCTCAGTAGAATAAGCACTTGCTTGGCAAGTGCAAGGTCCCGAGTTCAATCCCCAGTACCAAAAAAAAAAAAAAAAAAGATATCCCAGTATTCTAAATAAGATACTGATTTTTAAAGTATTTATTCGTTAATTGATCATTAAATTAAGGATTTTTTTTGGCCTGCTCAAGATGCCTTAAGGGCAGGTCTGGGAAGGCATGAGGATCTGGGGGTCGAACCAGAATCCTGAGCCTGACTGCTTTGCTTAAGCAGGCACTTAACTGAGCTAATGGGCACGCCCCCAGTCTCTGCAGTTCAGACTGGCCTTGAGCTCACTTTTTCTTAAATATGTATTTAGTACAGGGCCCAAAGGGTCACACTACACAGATCAACTCTAGTGAGCCTCCTGTTTTTCAGCCTCCTAATTGCTAGGATTACAGGCGTATCTCCATTCCCAGTTTGAGCTCACTTTGTAGCCCAGGCTGGTCTTGAATTTGCAACTGATCCTCCTGCTTCAGTCTCCTGAGTGCTGGGATCACAGGCATGTGCCACCATGCCTGGGTATAATTAATTATTTTGTTTGTTTCTCTGAGACAAGACTTTGCTTCATAGATCAGGCTGGCTGGCCTTGAACTTACTTTGTAGCTCAGGATGGCCTCAACTCATGGCAGTCCTCCTGCCTCAGCCTTCCAAGTGCTGAGATTACTTGCTCTATTATTAACTCTTTAAGAGTAAGATACAGAAGAGACCTTTAATGATAGCTAAAGTATTGCACAAAACCTGCCTGGTATAAATAAATAAATAATTGTAAAAAGGACCGGCCAGATAGTCAGATAGCGTCTGTTTAGGCAGGCTGAGTGGGTTTGATCCCAGACATGCTGTGCCAGTCCCACCTCTGGGGCACCCTGAGACAGGGACTAAGACTGGGCATGGTGGCCCACGCCCGTAATTCCAGCAATTTTTTTTTTTTTAATTTTATTTATTTGTGTGTGTGTGTGTGTGTGTGTGTGTGTGGCCAGCTCAGCCCACCAGGGGGCGGGGCTGGCTGGCATGTGGTGCTGGGGGATTGAACCGCCGTCCCTGTGCTTTGCTTAGCTAAGCTTGTTCTAAGTAGGTGCTTTAGACCACTGAGCCATCTTACCAGCCACAATTCCAGCAATTGGGAGGCTGAAAACAGGTGGATCACTACAAATTCAATCTGTGTAGTGAAACCCAGTAGACCCTGTACTTAATAATTAAAAAAAAAAAAAGCTGCCTGGTAAGCACAAGATCCTGAGTTCCATTCTAAGTACAAAAAACAAACAGTCATAGATAAAGCATTTGATAAAATTTGGTATGGTACAAAAATTGATAAAATTGATACTTGGTACAATTTATTAACAATTCCTACTCTTATACAATACTTAGAATCCTATAATAGCAATTTCCTTAACTTGATTTAAAAAATAAGTGGGTTATTTTGTTTGTGTGGTTTGTTGGTTGGTTTTTTTTTTTTTTTAGAAATCTATGGTAAACATTACACCTTAAGGTAAAAAAGATATAAGACAAGGATGTCAGTGGTCACTGCCATTGGTTACTGTTAAATTATCCAGCCAAACAAATTGGCCAGTTTAGTAATATAGAAATAGGGAATGGAATACTTTTGAGAGGTATTGTGAATAAAAGGAAGTCATATTTAAAAATGCTAATTATTGATTTTTATTTAGTATACGTTACCACTGGAGCTGATAAACCAACAGAACCTGACAGAATGGGTAGAAATTTTGAAGACTGTTGTGAATAGGGATGTACCTAATGTAAGTTCTGTATATGTTCTTTTATATTACAAAATTTGGATAATCTTTTGAGGATTTTTAAAGTCTTTTGAGGTTTTTAACTGATTTCTTATAATCTTTATAAACTTCTATAATTTGTAATGTGTTTTTCTAGGTATAAAGGTATCTATTTCTAAGGGATTATTCCATATATTTTTGATTTGATACTTGTGTGTATGTGATTATTTCATCCCAATTCTTTTGTTTAACTTTCTAGTTCTTAACTAAGAGCTAGGGCCAGCATATAGTTCAGCAGCATAACACTTGCCTGGCAATTGCAAGGTCCTGAGTTCCATTCCTGGTACCAAAAAAAAAGCGCTTATGGCTAATTTCAACCTAATAATTTGTTAAATGCCCATGAGTAGAAGACCCTGAATTACAAGTTATATTACTTTTGAGGTGGTCATTTTGTTTTGTCAAAGTCAGTCCCACTATACAGAGCCAGGATATCCTTGAACTCACAAAAATCCTGCTTAAACCTTGTGAGTGCTGGATTACAGGTGTGCTTACTAGGCATGGTATTCTTGGGATACACCTTTCATACCATAAAATTTATCCACTTATTACATCTCAGTGGGTTTTTTGGTACCTTCCTAGCAATCAGACTTTCATATACAACTACATATTTTAAATCGTAAGGTTTCTTCATGTGATACTGCTTTCTAGAAGAGTATGGGATTACAAAGGTTTTGAATGGTTAACTCGATTTAAGTGCCAAAGTACACTTTCCATATTTAAATTCATCTTCTATTTTCCCAGATTTCATTTAAAATTTAGATATAGGAAAGTTGCCTAAAATTTTTCATTTCTTTTTTCTTTTCTTTTTTTTTTTTTTTGGAGACAGAATTTCACTACACAGTTCAGGCTGGGGCTCTAAATACAGTTTGTAGCCCAGGCTGCCTCCCAACTCAACAGTGAGGATCCTACTTCAGCGTAAGTGCTGGTATTACAGGCATGCAACACTTTGCCCAGCAGTTAATTCTTAAAGAATAGTTGAGACCTACTTTTTGTTTTGTATTGGAAGTTTTTTTGTTTGTTTGTTTTGGCGGAACCAGGGATTGAACTCAGGCCCTTACCAGGGAAGTGCTTACTCCACTGAGCCATCTTCCAGGCCCATGTTTGTTTCTGATTTTTTTTCTCCTTAGTGCTGGGAATTGAATCTAGAGGAGTTTTTTGTCCCGTCCCCCCCCCCCAGGATGCCTTCAGGGCAGGTCTGGTTTGGTTTGAGGATGAGGGGATCAAACCACAGCATCCTGAGCCTGACTGCTTTGTTTCAGCAGGCACTTAAACACCTGAGTTAGGGGCTGGGGAGATGGCTCAGTGGAATAAATGCTTCCCTGTCAAGTGCAAGGGCCTGAGTTCAATCCCTGGTTCCACAAAAAAACAAAACAAAACCTGAGTTAATGGGCAGGCTCCCTGAACCTAGAGTTTGGTACATGCTAAGCTCACACCTTACCACTGAACCTACATTCCTACCCCTTATTTATTTTTTAAATTTTCAGTCTAGAAGTTCAAAGAATAGACCTCCCCCTCCATAGAAAACTAGTTTGACATGCATTTTTCCCTACACATTTAATAGGTATAAAATAATACATTTGGTCTTGATGGCATACACCTGTAACCCCACTCAGGAAGTTGAGGCAGAAGAAGGTCATAAGTTAGCTCCAGCCTAGCCTACAAAGTGAGTTCAAGATAAAAAGTCTCACTGGGCATGTGGCACATGCCTGTAATCCCAGCACTTGGGAGACAGTGGCAGAAGGATTGCTGTATTCCAGACTATCCTGAACTACATAGCAAGACCTTGTCTCAAAAAAAGGGTAAAAAGCTTCATACATGTTTTACAAAACCTTGTGTGATATAATTTATATTCAGTAACAGAAATTTAAAGGAAATATTTCAGTGGATTCTATGAGTATGTGTACCCATTTAAGTCACAATTACCAGGGCATATTTATTTTTTAATGGGCTGGGGTTATATGGCTCAGGGTTTAGAGTGCTTTGTATATCATGTGTGCAAACCTGGATCTAGTCCCCCAACAAAGTGTTTGTAAAAAAGAAAGCTTTCATTTCTGACTTTATATGCTTAACATTTTTGGTTGATATATTTTTGGCTTAATACATACTTAAGGTATGTATTTGTGTTGTAAAATGGTAGTTCATTTCTTTTGTTGCCAAATAGTATCCATTTGTGTATATTACACAAAAGTATTCCACAATTTATGATATATTTGCTGTGCTGATAGGCAGAAGCATGATTTTTATTTGTGTGTGTGTATGGGTTTAAAGTAATTGTAGAACGTTTTGTTTCTTGGTACATTTTAGATACGCATAATGATCACATTCATCATAGGAAATTTGTACCTGTGCATGATAAAACTTGATTCTTTTTCCCCCATTCTCCTACCCTCCCTTCAGCTCTTTTCCTCTCTTTATTTTTTAATTTTTTTCTCTATTTGTAAAAGCTTTATTTGTTTGTGTCCCCCTTCCCCCAGTTTCCCTTCCTATTTGAACATTTTCCTATTTCACAATACCTATTATACATTTTGGTCTTTGTTTATATTTTTAGTATTTATTTATTTATTGTATTTTAGGGAAGGGTCTACAGGGTGTTCAGGGTCTCACTACTAGAGCCTAGTGATCTGCCTGGTTACAGCCTTCCAAGAGCTGAGATTATAGGCACATACTACCATGTCCAGTCTCAGCACCCTCGGGGGCCAGGGCCTGCACTGCAGGCCTGGGGATCCAAGCCCGGATCCCCGGCCCCTGCACCTGCTTGAAAGTGCTTTAATCTGCTGTGCTATTTGGCCAGCCCTCCTTATATTTTTGGTTTATCACACCAGAGGTAATGTGGTATTTATAGGTGTGTATCTGATTATTTTTACATGTGAGTATGGTCTCAGTGTGCATCCATTTACCTAGAAATGTCTCAAGTATATTCTTTTTTATGGTAGAGTATACATCGTTATATAAAAATACCACATTTTCTTCATCCATGTACCAGTTCATGGGCATCTGGGCTGTTTCCAAGATTAAATTGTTGACACTGTAAACATGGATGTGCATATATTGCTGTGCTATGGTGCTTTGAATTGTTTTCTGTGTGTGTGTGTGTGTGTGTGTGTGTGTGGCCTGCTCAGCCCACCCTGAGGCCAGGCCCAGCAGGCCATGTGGTGCCCCACGATCCAGATTGAACCGCAGTCCCTGCACTTGCCTAAGCAGGTGTTTTTAGTCTGCTGAGCTATCTTGCTAGCCCTGTTTCCAGTTTTGAGTAGTGATTTTTCAAAGTGGCTATAGTGTTCTGAGTTTTATTTGTTCTGTATTCTCACTTACCCTAACTTAACAGTATTGTTATATCTTAGTTGGCATGTAAGCTCATTTTTTAATGGTTGCAGGATTGCTTTTACCTTATTAATGAAAGCTTAAGCACTTCGTAAATTTTATCTGTATCAAAATATTGTAATGAATGTATATCCTAGTACTTTTATAGAAGTGTCTGAAACTACATTTCTGAAGTAAACTCTCATGGTCTTTATAAATTGAGAACAATGCTGGTTTTAACTACGCTATTCTTGTCATGGTCATGACTTCATTATTTAGATCTTATCTAAAATGTTTGGTTTAAAGTGTCATATATGGGGCCAGGGAAATGGCTCAGTGGAATAAGCGCTTCCCTGGCAAGCGCAAGGGTCTGAGTTCATTCCCCAGTTCTGCCAAAAAAACAAAGTGTTTTATATAAAAGTTTGAGAAGTGTATGTTTTACAACCAAGTAGTGAGGATGCCACTTTAAGTAAAGGTCAGTACTTTCCCAATTTTTAACTTTTAATTATAACAGGTCAGCATTAATATGTGTGTCCATTTTGAGTCCATTCTTACATAATGTGGTTCCACCTAGATTGTATCGTCTCTTACTATCATTAAATGAATGTCTCTTTAAAGGAAACGCTTCAAGTTGAAGAAGATGATAGACCTGAATTACCATGGTGGAAATGTAAGAAGTGGGCTTTACATATTTTAGCCAGGCTTTTTGAAAGGTAAGTCCTGTCAATACATGATTTTATGTTTAGTTTTTAAAGTTACTCCTTTTATAACAAGTACGAAATAAATATTAGAAGCAAATAATAGGCATTTTCATGTTCTATTAGATATGGAAGCCCTGGCAATGTTTCCAAGGAATATAATGAATTCGCTGAGGTATTTCTGAAGGCATTTGCTGTTGGTATCCAGCAAGTAAGTCTATGATAGTTTTTCGAAGTACAAGTAGAAATCTAACAGTAAAGTTAATGTCTGTCTTATTTAATTCTAGTTTCTTTTTTATCTAAAGAGTGCATATTTGAACCCATTACCAGTTCTCAAACATTTTTGGTCTCAAAACTGTAACTGTTAAAGGCCTCTCTAGGTATTCCATGCTGGCCTTATACTCACATGTGACCCAATCTGTTCCTGAACTTGAGGCAGTCCTCCTGCCTCAGCCTCCCAAGTGCCACACAATAGATGTGTGTGTGTGTATCACTATTACCACCTTATAACTTAAATGTTTTAGCAGCTCACCTGGCTTTCATTTACCTAGGTTGTATATACCAAGTAATACTAAAGAAATTAGGTGTTTAAAACAAAATAGAACACTTAAATAAGACATGGAGTGTTGCGTGCCGATAGTCCCAGCTGCTTGAGTTACTTCAAGGCAGGAAGATTACTTCAGCCCAGGAATTAAAAACAACAGTTACATATTAAACCAAAAACTTTTTAGGGAGAGCAAAGAAAAAAATTTTCCAGAATGAAAAGTCTTTAATACCTACCTTGCTAAAAGGCACATGGATACTTATTCTCTGTTTCTGTTTTCATCTCATCACATCTCGTCTCACCTCACCTCACAGTGCCAGGGATTGAACTCAGGCTCTTCTGCTTGCCAGGGAAGTGCTTATTCTACTGAGCTATCTCCCCGGCCCCTATATTAGTTGGTGTTAAAAATAAGAAAATGTGGACTCAACAGATACAGTGTTGAGAAAGGGAAGTGTTTTAATAGACTCCAGGTAATTCTGGGATTTTTATACTAGGGCCTCAATTCTAGCATTCTGAGCTATACTCCTTTTTGGTTTTCGAGAAATGGTCTATGTATTTCATCCTGGTCTTAAATTCACTATGTAGCCAGGGATGGCCTAAAACTTGCGTAGCTCCTCTTCTATCATCCTCCTGAATGTTTAGGAGTATAGGGATCTGCTATCGCTTCTGGCAGTGTACTCCGAGCCTTTTTTTATTTTATATATCATCTACGCTGGCTCTGAATTTGGGACCTTGGAGTAGCTGGGATTACCTGTGTGTGCTACTATGCCAAACTATGAATTGATTACTTAATGTTTTAAAAATTAGTTTTAATAGGCTGGGGAGGTAGCTCAGTGGCATAAGCACCAACCTGGCAAGTGGCATAAGCACCTGCCTGGTAAGCACAAGGTCCTGAGTTCATTTCCCTGTAACAAACAGACAAAAAAGAAAAATTTTTTTTTAGGTGTAGTTGGGCATACCTAAAATCTCGGTATAGGTACACTCTTGAAATTCCTGGCCATCTGGGAAATTTAGGGAGACTTTGTCTCACAAAAAGAAAATAGTTACAGTGTGTGGCTTAAAACTGTTTACAGTGAAAATATTTACAATCTATTACATTATAACTCTTTGGTATGTATCACACCAGTCTTATATCTATATATCTTTATACATGATTTTGTCATATCCTGGACCTGGTATTTTTGATGATTGTATTAATGCAGAACTATGTTTCAATATTAGAAAACGAGCTAGGCATGGTACCACATACCTATAATCCTAGCACTCCACATTAAGGCAAAAGGATTGCTGCAATTTGAAAGCTATTCTGGGCTACTTACACAGTAAAACCCAGTCTTAGAATTTTCATTTTCTTAAATTGGCAGGCTGTCAAGCCAATAGTCCAAGTATTCTAGAACTGTTAATTTTTGCTTGGAAGCTTGAAATGTAATACCAGGTACTTACTTATCTTTCAGATAATGGGCTTGTTTGTTCTTTTCTAGAAAAATATCTGCCATGCACACATTTGTCTCTTAGTCCTTTGAAATACAAGTTTTTCAGTGCTTTCCTTCCATCCACTTTGTTGTTTACCATTTGGGCTCTGTACTTCTTGTTTAGTAATTTAACAGTTACATTTTTTTTTCTGGCTTATTAAGACATTTTTAAGGAAAACTTGCTGTAAAGGTTTGTGAATTAGTGCCCTTCCTTTGATTCTGACATAGGGGAAATGAAACTCCCAACCTGAAAGGTACCTGGGACAAGTTCGTGTTCTCTAAAACCAAAGAATTAATTTTAGGAACAAATGGAGATTAAGAGCATAATATAATTTATTGGGGGAATGAAAGCTCCTGTCCGAGAGAATGGCAGAAGGAGGGCCTGAACCAGTTGTCTTCCAGGAAACTGTCTCTTCCAGGGTTGTTTTTTGTTTTTTGGGGGGGGGCGGAACCGGGGATTGAACTCAGGCCCTTGCGCTTGCCAGGGAAGCGCTTATTCCACTGAGCCATTTCCCTGGCCCCTTTCCAGGGATTTTTGTAGAGTTAAACCATGTGGTAAGGTGGTGAGAGTCTAAGGTGGAGAACATGGGAACTCGCTTAGGTGGGCATAAAGTGGAACAAACTTATGGTCAACCAATGATATTATAAGCATCATTGCTCAGGTAAAGTTGATTAAATCCAGTACCAAATGGAGAAGTGAGTCACAGAGCAATTGGGCCTGAATACAGAACAGGGTCTCTTCCAGTTGGGGCTTGGGTTAGTGACTTTCTCAAGGTGATTGATAACGTATTTAGAATATCCATCCCTGATGCCCATCCCTAGGGAAGTATGTGGCTGCATTTGTTTACTTTTGTCTTGAGGTTTGGCCCAAAGTGGGAGTATCTATATCTTCCAAAGTTGCAAAGTCACCTTGTCTTACATATTGTCTCCTTGAGGACTTGGCCTTTTCTGACTGCTTATAATATTTCTATCTAATTTAGCGGCCTACAACAATTCATGTTAAACATCAAGCAGTTTTAGAAGCATAGATGCAAATGTCAAACCCCTAACTATAAATGTCAGAGGGGGTTATAAAACTACGTGGAATCTCATCACTTTGGAGACATAACAGGATTGTAATGTAGAGCCTTGCCTGGGCTACATAGTGAGATCAAGGCCAGCATAGGTTAGGTAGTAACACTGTTTCTCAAGAAAATAAACCACTTAAAAAGGTGAATAACATGTTGACGTTAGTATGAAATAGCTTTGACATGGTAAGCCTTCTAAAAAGTTTGGGGACCACTAGAGCTCTATGGATCACACTCAGAATCAACAGTTTCATAAAACATGAACATTTTACTAGAGGCTGACCAACATGATAAGAGTGCTCTCAGATTATTAAGATTGTGGTTGTTATTTTGGAGAGATTAGTATCAAAATGTTTTTATTGGTTTGTAAGTGGTTAGAATTTCTATTAGTGGGCCAGGGAGATAGCTCAGAATAAGCGCTTGCCAGGGCCTGAGTTCAATCCCCAGTCCTGCAAAAAAAAAAAAAAAAAAGAAGAAGAAGAATTTCTATTAGAGTTTTTGTTTGTAATCAACCTTTTTCTCTCCTAAAGGTTTTGTTGAAGGTGTTATATCAGTACAAGGAGAAGCAATACATGGCGCCTCGAGTTTTACAGCAGACATTAAATTACATTAATCAAGGAGTTTCTCATGCCCTCACTTGGAAGAATCTGAAGCCTCACATACAAGTAATAACATTGTCATAAAGGTTTAAAATTTGTGTTTTGTTGAGTGTGTGTCAATGATTGTTTTGTTGATCAGTTTTGATAGTATAGTAAAATTTACAGTACTTTTCTGAAGTTATAAGTGGTGTCTTACAAATATTCAGCTTAGTTTTAGTATAAAACTCTTACCTTTTTAAAAAAAAATTTATTTGTGTGTGTGTGTGTGTGTGCGCGCGCGTGTGTGCGCGCATGCACACGCGTGCATGTGGCCAGCTCAGCGCACCAGGGGGCGGGGTTGGCTGGCATGTGGTGCTGGGGGATTGAACCATGGTCCCTGTGCTTTGCTAAGCTTGTTTTAAGTAGGTGCTTTAGACCACTGAGCCATCTCACCAGCCCAAAACTCTTAACTTTGAACAATCTTACTATTGGATTATGATTAGTTGACAATTAAGTGATATAATTTGGAAATAAGCAATTTTACCAGATTGGGTTTCAGGATAATGGGCTTATAATTGCATGCTATAAAAAAGGTAAGATCTTGTCATTGATCCAGGAATCCTTTAAACACATTGCTTAAGGTTTTTTTTTTTTTGTTTTGTTTTGTTTTTTTGGTGGTGGTAACATTTTGCTTAAGTTTGATATTAAGCTTTAAAGTATATACAAGGTAGGGGCCGGGGAGATAGCTCAGTAGAAGGGCCTGAGTTCAATCCCTGGTTCCGCAAAAATAAAATAAAATACATACAATATAGTTATTTTTATTTTAGTACTTAAAGGGGATTTGACATTTCAGATTTGAAAACTGAAGGTTGTTACTTTAACTTTTAAATTGCAGGGCATTATCCAAGATGTTATTTTTCCATTGATGTGCTATACAGATGCTGATGAAGAACTTTGGCAGGAGGACCCTTATGAATACATTCGTATGAAGTTTGGTAAGGAAGTTTCACTTTAAAAACAAAGTGTCAGTGGTTAAGGTGAGAGTGATGTGTGTAGCCAACCTAAAGGATGTTAAAACCTCATCCTGGGTCTCATAGTGCAAAGAATTTCTTCAGTGTTTTAATGTAAATTATCTCTTGTTTAGATCCTTTTAGGCCATTCATTAATTATGGTATTTTATAACAATCTTTATTTTTAGCAGATATAAATTATAGTAATGTTACAAATTTGGTAATTGGATATACTTCTGACAGATGCCAAAACTGTTAGTCATGATTTCACCTTAACATGCTAGCCTAAAGTATTCGTTAGGATCCCATGGGAATGTGAAAACTGAAAAGATGTATAGGATTGTGGTTCTTAAATGAAACGTGTGATCTGGCTAATGTTAAGCATTAGTCCTTCCTACCAATTGTGTGCTCTTTGTAGTTGGTATTTGTGTGATTCAGTTGTGAAAATTCTTAGTGGTGGTGTTTTTTGTGAAAGAATATTATTAGGGGGCTGGAGAGATGGCTCAGTGGTCTAAAGCACCTACTTGGAACAAGTTTGGCAAAGCACAGGGACCGCGGTTCGATCCCCCAGCACCACATGCCAGCCAGCTGCGCCCCCTGGTGGGCTAAGCTGGGGACACACACACACACACACACACACACACACACACACACAAAAAGCCATACATTGAAATTTAAAAAAAAAAGAAAGAAAGAATATTATTAGGGAAAATTGGTCAGTTAACATCTAATTTGTACAGAAAAGATTGATTGATTGATTGATTGATTTATATGTATTTAGTATAGGGTCTACTCCTGTATTCAGCCTCCCAAACTCTGGGATTACAGGCATGCACCACCATGCCCAATCTCATTCCGTTTTAGCGTGTCCCAGGGGGATTTAGCTACTGTTCTGTGCCTAAGTAGGCGCTTTAATCCACTGAGCTAGCTATCTGACTGGCCCAGAAAAGATTTGAATTAGGATTTTGCAAAATTATATGCAAGTTGGGATTTCACTTATTTATGGGGGGGATTCATCTTAATACTTTGTAAGAGTTAGCAAATTTTTATGGTATTGGGAATTGAACTTATGACCTTGCACTGTCCAGGTAGGCACTGTGCCACTGAGCTATACCCTGGCAGAGTTAGCAAATTTTAATTTATTTATTTATTTTATTATTTTTTTAATGTGTTTGGTACAGGGTCTCACTGTGGAGCTCAGATATAGTGATCCTCCTGTTTTCAGCCTACCCAGGGCTGGGATTATAGATGTGCACCACTATGCCTGTTCTTGGTTGCTGGTCCAGAGTGCCTGGGGGCAGGGCCAGCACAGCATGCAGTATCAAGCATCGAACCCTGGTCCCTGCACTTGCCTAGGAATGTTCTTAGTCCACTGAGCTATCTTGCCAGCCCTCAAATTTTTAAGTGCCCCCCCTTTTTTAAGAATGTAATTTGTAATTAGATATGAAGGAAATGTTTTATGAAGAAATTAATAAAATTTATTTTCTATCTTAATTTTAAATTTGTTCTCTAGATGTCTTTGAAGATTTCATTTCTCCTACCACTGCTGCCCAGACACTTTTGTTCACAGCCTGTAGTAAGAGGAAAGAGGTTAGTTAATGTGCAGCTAACTCTTGAAATACTATTTAAAATGTGTTCAGCTATTCTATTCACTCCATGTGTTTGTGTGTTTGTTTTAACACTTTTCTATAAATGTTATACTTTATGACATTTCTGCTAAGAATATGGGATGGTGCATTCTAATATTTTGGATAATGAATGGATTGAATGGTCAGGAATATTGCTTGAAAACAACTATTATCAAAATAATGACATTCTTTTGCATTTTGGGTACTTCCACATGATTAGCAATTAGGCAAATATTGAATGTGTTTATTACTTTTAAATACAGCATTCCTCACATAATGTCTGATATGAAAATAGTGTTTTTTGGGGGTGGGGGAAGAGAAAGTAGTGTTTTTAAAATACTACCATGTATATATAATTATATATCCTGAACTTGGCTTTTACCCAAATACAGCATTACTTTTTTGTTTTAAGAGAGTATAATAATTGATAAGATATTAGACATGGTACAGTGGCCAGGGATAGCTCCGTAGAACAAGCACTTTCCTGGTAAGCGCAAGGTACTGAGTTCGTTCAATCC